GTCACTGCCGATGTCCCTCATCCGAACCTGAAGGTTGACAGAGAGCTAATAGATTTCTATCTGAAATATGGTCAATCGTAGTACTTGACATGGAGCGCTCAGAAAATTATTAAAGTCAAGGTACTGAAACCGACACAGGCTGGGAAATTTGTGAACGTTAATTTCAAAATCAACAGAGGAACGGCCAACACAAAACATCTTATTTCTCTAGCAGATCTTCCCAGTTTGAATCCGCATGATTGGATTTTGCTATACAACATTCTTCTCTCCAATCAAAGAGAGTATGAACCAATTCTTAAACATCTTAAAAGAATGTTGGCTTCCTACGTCCATGAGCTCGCCACTATGGATCAGGAAATAGCAAAAGTTATGAACAAGAAACCGACCGTCAAGCCCACTTCCAAGACCGAAGATGTTCATAAAATGAAGATAGGGCAAATTGATTCTTCCAATCTGACGGTTATGTTCACCAGAGGCGACAAGCATAAGTTTCTGTTTGCTTTGGTAGACAAACATCTGTTTTCTACAGATTGTCTGGAGCATATTATCAATATCATTCACCGATGCAAACATAACTCAACAGCAGACAAGAAGAACTTCACTGACATGCTTCGTTGGTATATCACCTTCAGGCATCATATTCTGGCTTTAATACCGAAGATTTTTGAAACGGTAAAGAAGCCCTCTGCTGTGAAAAGAGAATGAAGGTCTCGCTCCAAATTGACGCAAAGGGGGAGATTGTTGGGATGAAAATTATTTTGAAGATTGCGTCTTTTGGGCTCGACAGATTATGATACTTTGTATTCCGGTTTGGGCCTGTCCAACCGTGAACCTTTTATGTTTTGTATATAAGTTTACGCTTGCATGCATATTAGGTTAAGGTTTTTGGAGATCTGAAAATAGAGATACATCTAGACGATAACAGGTTTCTTTGATCGTTCCTATAACCTTCCAATCCTCTACAGTTGATGTTCTTAATCGAGCTCTTCTGAGGATTTTGTTTAATCATTCAACACGTTTGATTCCATCTTGACTTATTCTTTTTATTGAGTTCTTATTGTTTATATTTATATACTTGTTCAAGATCTAATCGATCTTTATAGATTAAAGGTTAGTTTAATCTCATCAACAAGAGACAAGATCAATAACAATGGATGTGTCCGTCTGTTGATATCCAGTCGTTTGTTAGTCCATGCACATTTTATCAGTTTTGTCTTGTATTAACTCCTCGACTATTTAAGGAGTTGTCAACATTTGTACCAGATATAGAAGTATGCACCTTTTTATTCCATAAATCCAAGAATCATTCATTCAATGATTATCTCTTACACTCTTCTTTTTCTTGTTGATTTACATTGTTCATACTTATTGTTTTTCTTTATTGAGCACTTTGTTGAGTTTATATAATCTGAGATAAGATTGCTTTACCAGACTTGACTGGAACTATATTACAAGCAATCATTGATCTTAAGTTAATTCAAGGTTTGAGTTTTCAAACCTTTTTCGTGCAAAACCCTTGCTTTTCACAAGGATATGAATTATACAAAGATGAGGTTTAAAAGAATGTTCAAGATGGTGACTTTCAGATGTTCCTTTCTAATGAGGAATCTAGTGTTTTTTTAGCTATTTGTCACCAAGAAAGCAAAGAAGAAGAAGAAGAAGAAGAAGAAAAGAAGAAGGTTATGGTATCAAGGAAATAATTTATTGGGTTAGATGATAGAGTAGATCAAATCTTGAGCGCAGTCAGAAATCTACTACGTCCTCCACTGCAGATCACAATTCCTCCCAACATTGAAGACATCGCTCAAAGAGTCACAAAGATTGAAGCAAGGGAGAGAGTACCAGATCAAAGAGTTATAATTGCAAGAAAGAAGTTAAAGAACAATTGCAAGAAAGGATTACTTGGTTGGTTTTTGTAAGGAAATTTTGGAAGATTCTCATCAAGTTTCTCAAACTTGATAAATGAAGGTATTAGTTTCAAGGTAACTTAGGGGAATAGTTGATGGATAAAGTGACCCTTGGCAGATTTCAAACACTACAAGAAAAAGACCCTTTTACGACGCTCAAACCACAAAACTCATTGATTTATGTTATGCAAAAGAGAGTGACGTTAAAAATGTGTCATCTCTTCAAAAAATTGAAGGATTTAGGTCATGAATTATTACGTGCCCTTAAATTAGTGTCATAAGAAAAAAAAATTAAAAACACAGAGGGCGCTGTATCTAAAATGCGCGTCCTCTATAAGTGTCGCTTTATAATTTTAATGAAAGGCACATTTAGTAGATACTGGGGAAAATGAAATCCCAAAAATTTTGAAAACCTGCCTTCATTTTTATCCTCCATTTTTGTTTTCCTCTTGCCCTAGTTACGATGCTCCTTCCTTTCCCCTCCAGACATTGACTGCCACCGTGCCCTAGTTATCAACACTCCTTCCTTCCTCACTTGCCTTCTTCACCTGATAATATCTCCAGAAGTACAACTTCGAAAGCGTACAAGTCAGACTTATGTGTCGGAACACCGGTAGACTGAATCTCGTTCCAAGCTGCTATCGGTTTCGCCATGGAGTTCCGCCGTTCCAAAATCGCAGATGATAAGTTTCCATCGAAGAAGACGATTGTAAAACACAAGAACTTGAATCCTGAATGGAATGAAGAATTCAACCTAGTTGTGAAAGATCCTGAAGTTCAAGCTCTAGAAATCATGGTTTTCGATTAGGAATCGATAGGGAAGCATGATAAAATGGGGATGAATCGTGTACCTTTGAAAGATCTAACTCCTGAAGAGCCAAAAACCCTGACTCTCAATCTTCTCAAGAACATAGATCTCAATGATTTGCATATGATAAATCCGGAGGGCGGCGTCTTGCTTGTTGTTATAATCCATGAAGGTGAAGATCTCGAAGGAAAACATCATAGAAATCCTTCCGTTTGTGTGCTTTTCCATGGCAAAGAAAAAAGAACTAAGGTTTGTTTCCCCAATTCAAAATTGATGCTGATTGCTTCTTAAATTGCATGTTATTTTACAGTTTTTTGGGTGATATGATTTACAATCGATGAGTTTTGTAAACCCTAAACTTCGATTGTATGATTTAGGGTTTTAATTCTTCTGTTTTTTTCAGGAATCTTTGGGTTATGTTCGAAATTGTCACTGGAGGAAGTAAGGGCAGTGGAAGATGATAAAGGGCCTTCAACGGTTGTTTGGTTATTACACTGTACGTATCAGTTCTAGAGTTCTTTTAAAAAAATTAGGTCATCTGTACCCTTGTAAGCAAGCATTTAGATTATTTACATGCTTTTCAGTATGAACTTTTGTGTTTATGTCCCAGTTCATACATTGCACACTACTGTCTCTTGCCATTTTGACATTTTTGCCCCTGGAGCTGTTTTGAAAGTTGTTTGGGCCTAGTTTGTTATTGATTTTGCATTCAGAGCTTTGTTGGAGTTATATTTCCCCTCTAATATTATCTAGTGGTGTTCCTGATGGCATCTCATCTGGGGCTTATCTCCTGAGGGGAGTTTGTAATTATCTAGTTCTCCTTAGAGTTATTATATTAGTTGTTTTTCTCTTATTTTTCTGTTTTACCTTTTTGTAATTGGCAACTTTCCAGTGGCCTTGGTTTCTTATTTTAACAGAGCTAAAGCAAGTCAGTAACAAGAACCAGTTAGCAGGAGAATGGAGACGAAGCAAACTGATATTAAACTGAAAATTCCAATTCGTTGCATCATCAAACTAGATCAGGCATCATTTATTTTACCCTAAAATATTCAAGTTTCGTTGATTTCCACTTGATTTCCTTTATTTAGTTACCTAATCTGATGAACTTTCTTTGCAATTGATCTAATATGCAGTGGTACCACCTCTACTAATCCATCCTACTGTTTAAACATTCCAAACCGAGCTTCAGGAAACAGTTTGTCAGCGCCAATTAAACCATCAGGAGGTATTACTATTCATTTCAACATTAATGAAAACCCTTGTTTTTTTTAAACATGTGAGATTATATATTTTTATATATTATTTAATTAACTTGCACATGATACATGGATTCTATGGATGATAAGTCAAAAGCAAATTTAGTACAATTAAGAGGTAGGTTTTCTGTGAAATCAGAAGACCTAGATCTTGTAAAGGATATTCCATTATGTACAGTTCCTCGAAGGTCCCCCCAGGTAAAATAAAATTCCAAATATGGAATTATTTGTATATAAGTAATTTCTTTTTATGCTATTTTAACTTAATGGCTTGTGATCATTATTATTCAATATATATAGGATACATTTTCCTTTTTGGCTTACTTTGTATAATTTCATGCATTGATGCAAAATTATACATTTCTGGTGTTTGGCAGCCTACACCTAGAGAGATGAATAGCAGTTTTGTTTCTATACATAACAATTACCTAGGGGTATTCGTTTAGATGGATCGGTTCGATCCGATCCAATTAAGTAAATCCAAATGGATTTTGGTTTTCAAAATATGGATCCAAATAGTCCAAACTAAATTCAAATCCGATCCGATCCGATCCAATTACAATTCGGTTGGATCGGTTTTTATAATTCGGTTTTCAAAAACCGTAACATTTTATATAGAATTATAATATGATCTAATTTTACAAAAATAGCAAAAACAAATTATTTACTTGTGATTTAAAATTTATAAACAACCACTAAGAAGGCATATTATAGTTTATTATTTAATAGATAAAAAACTTTTGACAGAAAGTACATATTAATGTCTTTTATTAGGTAAAACCTTTTGAACTTATTCAAAAAAAATTATAAAATTAATAAATAATTATAGATATATTCAAAATAAAAAACATAACAAATTGTTATTCGGTTCTTATTTTATAAACCAAAACTAATCCGAAATCCAAAATTATAATTCGGTTTTGTTGAAAACCAATCCAAAAATCCGAATATCCGAACCAAATAGTCCAATTGGACAATTCGGTTTTATCCAAATAGTGAACAACCCTACAATTACCCGCATCAGTTCTCATGCTCCACCTTCAAAACCTCTTTCAGCAGACATCACTTCAACAGGTAAACTAATTAAATTATGCTTACTTTTTGTTAAAAAAAATTCATCAACCCATGGTGTTCTTTCTCCAGGATCTTATCTTGAATCTGTTGAATAGCTTGCAACCAGCTGAGGTATCAGCAGAAGCGAGTTAAATTCTATATTTATTATAATAAACAATAAAAAAAATCAATGAAAGTATGTTGCTATTTCTTTCATTTTTAACCCTTTAATATGGTTGTAAAATATGTTGTTTGGTTGTATTTCAGCTTCTCAAAATGGGAAATTGCCACTATTGTTCATGACTTACTTCCTTCCACTCCTTTATAGTTTATTATGCATTACTACTTTGTGTTCTTTCAAATAATCAATTAAGCATTTCCAAAGGTCCATAAACATAAATTTAATTTTTAAATGGTAATTATTTTCAGGTTGAAATTTCTGATAGAGAACGCTTGCTGCTCACCAAGGTTTCTGAGCTACAATCCAGGTTGTTACTTGTTACTCAATATAAATTGGGTTCCAGTAAAACCATATATATGTTTCTATTTCCTTTTCATTTCTTAGGAAGTATATTTAATTTATATATATTTTTTCCTTATATAGTTTAACAATCTTGACCGAGGAATTGACTGCCGAAAAATCAAAATACGTACAGGTGAGTTGACCAAGTTGTTGTATTTAGTTTATTAAAAATTAAAAATGAATTAATAAGAGAGTTAACCTTGTTCTTGTTTCAGTTATATTTTTTATTCTATGTTTATGAACTAGGGGAAATGGGATTCCTAAAGTACTCTCTGTTCTTCTTTAAAATCATGATTAGTCTCAATTTGTCTATGTTCACTACTGATTCTTGTTGAGGTTTCTTCGCCTGGATCTTCATCTGGGCAGTTCTTGAAATGGATTGGAGCAAACGCCCTGGAATTTTAGAAACTTCAGTTACAGTGGACGCTTTTAAAGAACAAGAAGATTTTGACTACAACAGTTTTGTTGTTATTCATGGAGCTGGTGAGTAAAGAATCTTGCTTGCTTATTCATTCTCTATGATAAAAAAAAATCACTGCAATTAATTTCCAATTATTTGGCTCATTAACAATCAAGTTTCGTTTTTCTATCCAGTTTATGTGCCACTTTGTTTTTCAGGATCTTTTGGTCACTTCCAAGCTAGCAAATCCAATGTTCATAAAGGGGGGGTTAAATAAACCTCTTGTGAAAGCTGGCTTTGTTGCTACTAGGATTTCTGTAAGCTCTATTTCTTTACCACTAGCTTATTATTGTTGTTTCAAGGCTATACCCTCATTGTGTTTTTTTTCAAGTTGTATCGTTGTAATATCTACTTTTGTGTAAACTTCACCTTCATTGCCTTTTTAGTATATCTTATGTTATTCATTTACTACTAAATTTATGTATCTAACTGTTTCTCATTTTATTAGGTGACATCCCTCAATCTTGAAATAGTTAGAGCACTTGCAAGAGGTAGACTTCTCATTACCAAACTAAAGTTTCCACTCATTTTAATTTTGACTTCTGGATATCCAATTGCATGTTGACTTATGTATTTAACTCCTTTTGTAGAGGGTATTCCATCAGTTGCAATGTCTCCATTTTCTTGTGCTTAATCAACCCATGAAAGAAATGTTAGGAAGCACTCAAAAACCATCTTCCATCAACTCATTTGAAATTTATACACCTTTTACACAACAATGCAACAATGACAATCTTTTGTTTTTACAGATAGCATCTGCTGATGTGTCAACAGTGGTTATTGCCCTTGACTGCGGTTTTGTTCCTGTAAGTTTTAGGTTTCTCAACACAGAAGGGTAAAATTGTCATTTACTGTCATTCAGAGTGTTCATTCACAATACGACCTTGAAAAATATATGATATTGTTACATAATTCTGACAATGATAATTTGCTATTGCCATGTAGGTTTTGGATGGGGATGCAATACTCGATGAGTCACTGGTAAGTAGCATCTAACAATAGGGGTGTAATTGTAAATTGTAAATGTATGCACTATACTAAGTGGAGATGTAATTATAAGTCATCTTGCAACATATTTTGTATAACTAACAAAATAGATTACTTAGTTAAAAAAAAATAATGAAACATTAAAATTTTCATATGCACTAAACTGTTGAATCTTTTTAATAAAAAAAGTTATTAAAGCTTTTCCTAAGTGGTAAAAGAAACCTTTTGGTTTTATCATGGTTAAAACGAAAAGTGATTTTTTTCCCGTTGTTTTATACAGGTACAAGAACGATTGGTGTTTGTAGAAAAGTTATTAAGGCTTTTTTTTGTTGAGACATTAGCTCATCGAATTTGTAGTTGCATTTGCGTCAAGATCAGGCTTCTAAATCTTTTAACAGGGTAATATATTTTTTAGAGTAAATCATAAAAATGATCCCCATGTTATTTGGTTTTTACCGTGTTTAGTCCAAAGTAAATTATAAAAATGGTGATATGATGGATTGGAGATGTTAAGAGGTTGCATTATATTAAAGGTTGGTTTTTACCGTGTTCAGCTGTACATTTTGGTTTAAGGGTTTATGTCACATTTGATATTTTACCAATTAAGTTTTTATGTAGGGAGTAGAAAAAGGGGAACACTTTGCATGACACTCATTGGTTTTATTTTCTGATTTGAACTACTAGACACTCTCCTGCAAATTCAAAAGGAAGATGGCACATGCAAGGAATATCCTTTGGAAGTTGCCCTTGAGGCCACCAAAACTACTTTGATTCAAGGCAGTACAAAACTCTTATTGGTAGATCATTTTGATTCCACTCTCATACATACCATGTGTATTATTAATTAGTTGATATTGATGTTGTACAATTGGCATGATTATTGTGTAGAAATTTAGTGTTGTTCTGATCAAGAGTTGGGATTGACATTGAAGCTAAGAGACATGATGATTGGTTGGATACATGAAGGGTTTTAGAGCTTCTTCAGACAGCTAAATGATGAGTTACTGAAACAAGAAGGTGCCCCTTTATAGCAATGTAGTATTAGGTTATATAGTTAGGAAAAACCTCTTAATAACAATGTATAATAAGATATCTTTAATATTAATGTATTACATTTTTTTGACATGATGTTATTGGATGAAATTGAATGTCTTGGGATTTATGTGTTTTTATATATTTGTATTATGCGTAAAAGAGTATCGTAAAGGCACGTCGTATATGCATATCGTAATGGTTGCTGATGTTTATGACACACAAATGCGTGTCATCTTCATTTATGACAAGGGCTTTAATACGCAATGCGTGTCCTAAAGGCACGTCGTAAGGTTACGACACGCAAATGCGTGTCGTCTTCATTTATGACAAAGCCTTCCTTGATACGCATTGCGTGTCGTAAATGAGCGTCGTAAATGCGTGTCGTAAATGTGCATCGTAAATGCACGTCGTAAATAGACGACGCGCAAAAGCGTGTCGTCTCTCGTTATGAGATGGCCTTCCTTGACATACATTTGCGCGTTGTCTGAGTGTTTTACGACACGCATTGCACGTTGTAAAAGGTTGTTTTTCTAGTAGTGAAATGACATGCAAAGTCCTTTTTAAAGTATATAGATGCGAGAAGTGTTTTGGTTATGGGAATAATATTGTTGGTGAAGATATGTGAAGACTAGAAATCAGGAAACAATGCGAAGAGTTCAAGTGTTTTTGTCTTGTGAGGATTAGAATACACCAACCAAATTTTTATGACCTTGAGTGTTTCGTGATGTTTTTCAGAACAAACATGGAAGCATGGCCACTTGTTCTCCATACCTTTTCGTATTTTCCAGTAAATAGCTAGTACATTGTTTCACCATGAATAGATGGCGTGAGTTAGTATTCAAAAGTGTGTCTAAGCTTCATTTCTTCCTTGTAGTCAGTTTATATGAAATACAAAGCCTCATTATCTCCATTTATGCTTTTGTTGTTCTTCATTTACTAACTTAGTGTTTGCATCCAAACCTAGTTACAATTCAACAAGGCTTCTTATATCTTGCTAATATTTATTTAGTTATGTTGATGTTATGTTTCCGCTATGAGTTGTTCTTATAATTCCACACTTATTTATTTTTTAGCTAACCTAAAGATCCATGAGATTAACTGTAGTTCCGCATCATAATCTCCATGACTAAGTTCTTCTCTCAATACTTCCTCATTGTCGTTATAATCTCAACCACTAGAGATTCACAGATAAATATGTTACTTTCTTGTTAAATGAGTAAGAGATACACCTTATCTTTGGTTTCTAGATTTCGTTGCAAGTTTGAGGAAGAGTGAATATATATATATATATATATATATATATATATATATATATATATATATATATATATATAGAGAGAGAGAGAGAGAGAGAGAGAGAAGGGAGAGATAGATCGAATGGAAGATGTTAACATTTGGTTGCGAAACGGAAAGCTTATAAAGGCTCTCCATAATTTTTATTGATCATAAAGCAATTCAATTTAAGTTATAACATAATTATCTATTAGATAACTAAGTGTAAGACCCATGTATCACATGGGTTTATTTAAAAACAAATTAATATAAAATTCAAAATATTTGAAAAGTTTGAATGTATAAGAAAGTGAGAAAAATATTGAATTATAAAAATTAAAATGTTTTTTTTCTCTTTTAAATTTAAACAAATAATTTAAATAAATAAATAAAGGAAATTAATGAAACTTTAATTTAGTAATTTTGAAATTAGAAGTAAAGTCCATTAATGAAATTGATATGCATTTATTATTAGATTTAAATAATATTTGACATTTAATAAAATAGAAAAACCATAAAATAACTTGTGGAATAAAAATTAATTTAAAATAACCATAAAATTACATGTGTCAAATTGAATAAGAGTATGGCATGTGGCAAAAAAAACATTCATTTATTAGAGTAGAATAGATAATTATGTGGTTTTTAATTAAATTCGACCAATTGAAAATCTAGTCCATTGCTTTAATAGTTTCTTATTAATACCAAACTATTAATAAATAAGAAACTATTTCATATTTATTATTCTCCTTATTTTAGATTGCAGATTATGTGCAATGTAATATACATATGTATTATTAGTAATATAACTAACTTATTTTGTAAGTCGACATTTCTCTAACAATAATTTATATATATATATATATATATATATATATATATATATATATATATATATATATATATATATATATATATATATATATATATAACATCGATGACTTTATTGATTAAATTATGTTTGTATAGTACACCAGAGGATATTACTTGCATATATAATATAGATTCAAATAATGAAAATCTTATTATAATTAAATATGCATTTTATGATGTTTTACAATTTATTATTATAGATGTTGCATTTGAATTTATAGTAGATTATTTTCCACCACCACCACCGTCGCCTCCTCCTCCTCCACCATCACCTCCTCCTCCCCCTCCTCCGCCTCCACCATCAGATCCGCCTCCCCCTCCTCCACCACCTCCACCTACATCTTGGTTGTTAGACATTCCATTAGAAGACACTTGAGTGTTAGGATATTGACTGTAATATTGTTGATTGGTATTAGTTTCAGTGCTAAGTGCAACATTGTAAATTGAATTAGTTGACATTTTTCTTATATTAATTTATTTGATCGCAACTCCATTCGTCGATTGACCATCATCATCCATATTTATTGTTATACTTCGTTTTAACATTGCTTCCCCTTTACCTTGGCCCTTTCCTTGCAACTTATTGAGGACCTCATCTTTAATGTAATCTCTAACATGCCCTACTCCATGCATTTCATCACGAACACGACACGATAAACTTGTTTTTAAATCACAACCACTCTTAATAATGTCCTCACTATATTCTAGGATTTTCTTCTCTTCTCCAACAAGCTTTTTACCACAAACAATGTCACTTGTGAAAATCAAAAACGATACAGTAACAACCTTTAAAAGCTTAAGATACATTATGTAGCTTTTCTTAATATTCCACTCGTGACTTGAAACTTTTTATCACGACTTCTATATATATGGATTTATGTATGTAGTTATTAAATATGGTAGTTAAGATGTAATTATGTTGAAAACTATACATTAGTACCATTATTTTATATATTGTACAACTTGTTTGAGTTGACATAAGTAACAATGTTATATTTGTTTATATTTTATTAAATAATTTTAAATTATTTCATTTTAATTTACCTTTATACATACCTAGTATATCGTAATTGTATCATTTCGTGTCTCTTCAAAAAGCAAATATATGATTACAATTGCACTTAAATGCAATGAAAAATAAAGAAAACCTATTTTACTATTTAAATAACTTAGTAATCAATTTACTAGTATGAAGTATTTCAACCTAAGGATCTTTATGTTCTTTTGTAAAGAATACAACTATTTAAGTTCTAATGAGATTAATGTGTACATCAATCTTCCTCCCAACTTTTTTTCTAATTTACACTGAAGGAGACTTCTCAATTAGACATTTATGTCTCATTTTATCTTTCATATAGAATACATAAATAACAAATTCACAAAATATGTATAATTATTTTTATGGAAAAAGAGTGTTTCAATTTACATTGCTAAACCATATAAAAGGTTTAACAGATTTAAACAAAATTTACAAATCCCATCCTAATTTACTATAAAAACAATTGAAAATTAGAAGATTTGGAAAACAACTTAATTTTTTTTTCTAGAACTTACTGGCATATGGATCAAAATTTTCTAATTCAAACTAACTTGGATAGAAAAATTCTTTAGTTTTATAAATAAATAGTATAGTATACAATGTTACAAAGCCTATATAATAGAAAAATATATTAAATTTTAAATTCGTACATTTTTTTTATATTTGTGATTATCATATTAAAAAACTATGTAACCTTTTCGGATATTTCAGTCCCACAACTAAGATAATTTTGTTTTAATTCGTGAATCCAATGTAAAATGAATAATTTACCTTTAGAGTATCTTTAATGCCATATATTTTTATAGTGTATTATTAGTTAGTCTTTTAAATGACCACTTAACACTATCTGAGCAAACAATTTTTTGTTTTTTTGTTTGTTCTTTTGTTTGACCACTCAATATATATTTGAGTGGTTAATATAATATCATAAGTTGTACATTTAACCCATTCCACTTTAAACATATTTCATTTTATAACTATTTTATAATATTTTCAATATTTTTGTTGTATTTTTATGACTAAAACATAATAATTTGTCACATTTTAGATTTATAAATAAATCCTTGATATAGTTGTATTTTATATATTCATATTAAGAAATGATTTGTGTTTAAAAAATGATTAATTAAATTAGATGTTCTATAAAACATTTTATGTGGATGAGGGTAAAATAGGTAAATTTATAGAAAAACTATTAAAATAAGGTTAACCATTGGTGAAGTCACTTATTTAGAGGTAAAATAATGAGGTGACAATAACTTTAAGTTATAACATGGGTTAACCATTGGATATGCTCTTATAATTAATTTACTTCGTAAGCCATCCTACTCAAAATTTCCCCCGATCTTGTACCATTAACACTTCAAACCTAGTGCATGGCGTAATGTTTTGTGTCTAAAAATGTTTTTTAAAAATTGTATACATTAGGATTCATAGAGCTTTATGAAGATCATTGGGGTCTAACTTTTTTATGTTAAAACTAGTAAATATTCTACACATTGGCTGAGTCTAGAGCATGAAATAATGTGGTTCCCCAATTAAGTGAATCCGATAAAAATAAAATAATCAATAATAATTGTTTCGTGTTGGTGATATGTGCATATTTATTCATGTATTTGGTACATATTTCTAATACTTTTAGCTACAATTATGTTTATTTTGGGACATAAGGTAGTTATTATGTTTGAAATCTGTTTTTTAGTAACAAAGATGTAACAACCCGAAGTTGTCCATTGCCAAAACCCGTTCCGCCCGTAAAACCCGTCTATAGCGGTTCGTTCCTATTCCGTTTTTGGGCTAAGTTGTTTAAACTTATAAGTTTATTTTAATCTCATTAGTGTTCAAATCCCTTAGAAATTCATAAAAATGGCCCAAAATCATTAATTTGAAAATTTCTAAATTCTATCGTGTCGGATTACGATAACTTAATCGGGTGCGACCAAAAGCCCCGTTTAATGTCGGTATCGGGTAGAATTCCACCGTGTCAAAATCTTGGAAACTATTTAAAGGGGATTAAGCTTCCATTTGAAGCTTTTGCTCTCTCTCTCTCTCTCCACTCTTTCTCTAACCTCTCTCCTCAAATCAACTCTAAGGGTCCAAAATCATCAAATTAAGGCTTCTAATCATCAAGGTATCTTCCCTAACTCCTAGTATATCATCCTTAGCATTCAAATTTGAGTTCAAATCATGAATTAGGACCTTGTTCATGTGTTTACGGCCCTGGAACATGCTTGGGCCGTAAAAACATATAAAGGGGGTATTTATGCCTTAAAACCCCTCCAAAACACCATTGAGACTTAGATATGGCTTGTAGAATTATGGAATTCGACTTAGAACACCTTGAACCTGATTTTTGGATAGTAAACATGAGTTTACTGCCCAAGAACATGCTTCGGCTGTAAACTCCATATCATGGAGAGTAAACTCATTTTAAAGTGTTAAAATGCCATTTAAACACACCAATAGCCTTGGAATAAATTCTAGAATCAACCATAAACGAATTAGAAGCCTTAAACTCAATGAAAACCTCTCCCTTAGGAGTTCACGGCCGTAAACCCCCCAAGGATGGGTTCCTGGGCCGTAAACTCCTATAATATAGTCAAATGATGCCCAAAATTCCATCCAAGGCTTGTAAAATGAGTTCAAATCGCATATGATTGTCCTAGCACCTCCAAAACACATAAGGAATGGGTATGGGGGAGTTTACGACCGTAAACTCTTAGTTTACTGTCGTAAACTCCATTAAATGGTCCATAAGTGAGTAAAATCCGTTCCTACGCCCTAGATTTGATCCTATCTAATTTTCCCAAGTCATATAAGGCCATTTAGCACCATAAAACCCTCACCCATGAGTTCATGGCTGTGAACTCATGTGGAGTTGGTATTAGGGCCAAAAACTCCATAAGGAGTTTAATCTCGAAGAGTAAACACTTTATCCAAGCCATATACATCCGTAGATGTCACCCGGGTCACTCCAAACACTTGATTTGAAGTGTTTTCGCGTCTTGGAGTGTATAATCATATCTAATTAAAGATTTAAAGTATAATTAGATACATTTTTATATCATTTCATATTACATAGGAACCTCGCGCGTTATCAAGCCCAGAATCGACACTTAGCATTGTAACACCGTGATTTTCAAGGCAAAATTTTCATTTAAATAATCAATTTAATATTAAAACACGTGTTTAAAATCTCATTCATATTTGAATTACAAAACATAGTTCCATTTTCACTTGAATAGAAAACTAGGATCCCCCAAAATACAACTCTTTCTTTGGTGTGTACAATCGAGCCGGTGCCATCCCGTGTTACTGAAAGAACCTGAAACAACATAACATAAAACACTGTAAGCACGAAGCTTAGTGAGTTCCCCAATATACAACTTACGCACATACGCCTTTCCAGGCCCTGACCTTCCGGTCCATAGCACAACGCCTTCCGGCCCATGAGATAATCGCCTTCCGGCCCATAACGTGTTGCCTTCCGGCCCATAACACATTGCCTTCCGGCCCATAACATATTGCCTTCCGGCCCAGATAAATATACACAGCACGCATAACAAATAACTTACCGCATATAGCACATATTTCACATAACATACCCGACCTTCCAAATATACACAACACGCATAACAAATAACTTACCGCATATAGCACATATTTCACATAACATACCTAACCTTCCGGTCACATAACATATTGCCTTCCGGCCCATAACGTAATGCCTTCCGGCCCATAAACATACACAGCACATAATACATTTAACTTACCACATATAGCACATATATCATAGATCATATCCGACCTTCCGGTCACATAACATATTGCCTTCCGGCCCATATAGACATACATAGTTCGCATAGCAATTACCTTACCATTTATGGCACGTATAACACATATCATATCCGACCTTCCGGTCACACAGTCAAACCCTTCCGGGTACAGTATAGTGAGAAGACTCACCTCGTGGATACTGGAAGTTAGCAACTCCTGAAATCATTTGCACTTGATCCGCCGAGCTACAAGCTCCCTATAACATCATATATCTCTTATTAATACTTTTATCTTCCACGTTAACTGACCCTAAGAAATCACACACATGTCAACTCTGGTCAACAGTCCACGGTCAACTCGACCGGACTCGGCGAGTACTCTGGCGACTCGGCGAGTCTAGTCGTCCTCCAATCCTCTAAGTTTTCCCTTCTACTCGTCGAGTATCCTCCTTGACCCGACGAGTTACTCCTGAAAGAATCGCGGGGCCACCCCGACTCCACTCGCCGAGTCTGAGGAACAACTCGACGAGTCCCAGTTATTCTTCAAGCTACTCGCCGAGTCTGCTCATCTGACTCGGCGAGTCCATGCCATGCAGCCGCTCAAACTGCTTCCTAAGGTCATAACTGCTCCGACCATTCATAGGTCTGGCCTTCCTCGACTGGTCCTTTACATAAGGTCTTCATTTAGGTGCTCATGCTACACCACTGACTTATAATTTACATGTTGACCTAAGGCATAAGGATTTCAATCCAAAACCTTCACCAATTCCCGAAATGCCCAGACATGGGATAATCTGGACCTCTAAAGGTCCCAACACAGGGTTACAATCGCTTCGGGGACCTGGGTAACACTCAATCTATCCACAAAAAGGTTCCATAAACCCTAATCCTCTAAATATATCAACATAGCAGAGTATACCCGAATTCATACCTGGATAATGTATTCTCTGTGTCCCCAATCTTCAGCATGTGACTCCCTTGCTGTTCCTTTA